TGCTCTATAGAGAATATTCCTGTAACAGAAAAATAAACATCAGGGTGACTCTGATCACTCCAACACGCCCGATACACTGCTCTATAGAGAATATTCCTGTAACAGAAAAATAAACATCAGGGTGACTCTGATCACTCCAACACGCCCGATACACTGCTCTATAGAAAATATTTCTGTAACAGAAAAATAAACATCAGGGTGACTCTGATAATCATCAGGGTGACTCTGATCACGCCAACACGCCCGATACGTTGCTCTATAGAGAATATTCCTGTAACAGAAAACTTAACATCAGGGTGACTCTGATCACGCCAACATGCCCGATACGTTGCTCTATAGAGAATGTTTCTGTAACAGAAAAATAAACATCAAGTGACTCTAATCACTCCAACACGCCCGATACACTGCTCGATAGAGAATATTCCTGTAACAGAAAAATAATCATCAGGATGACTTTGATCACGCCAAATACACTGCTCTATGGAGAATATTCCTGTAACAGAAAAATAAACATTAGGGTGACTCCGATCACTCAAACACGCCCAATACACTGCTCTATAGAGAATATTCCTGTAACAGAAAAATAAACATCAGGGTGAATCTGATCACGCCAACATGCCCGATACGTTGCTCTATAGAGAATGTTTCTGTAACAGAAAAATAAACATCAAGTGACTCTGTTCACTCCAACACGCCCGATACACTGCTCTATAGAAAATTTTCCTGTAACAGAAAAATAATCATCAGGGTGACTCTGATCACACCGACACGCCCGATACACTGCTCTATGGAGAATATTCCTGTAACAGAAAACTTAACATCAGGGTGACTCTGATCACGCCAACACGCCCAATACACTGCTCTATAGAAAATTTTCCTGTAACAGGAAAATAATCATCAGGGTGACTCTGATCACACCAACACGCCCGATACACTGCTCTATAGAGAATATTCCTGTATTAGAAAATCAATATCAGACGGTCTGTGAAATGAACACTGTTGCAAAAACATCCTTTATATGATACTGAGCTTAAAACAAGAGGACTTGATCACTCAACGTTTTTTTATAAATCATACTTGACCTGTCATCTTGGAGTGGGTCAATGTCATCTTAAAGTTTAAAAATTTTGATAGCTCTTAAACAAACCAAGCTGCGGACTAGTACTACAACTCTAAACAAGGATTTAATCAGTTAAAGCTATTTAAACTTTGAGGATATATCTGACCCCTGCAACATTTCAAGTGGGTCAAGGTCGTTTGTTGAAACAATTATGATATTAGCCTAAACCAAAGCGAGCAGCACATCAAATATCTCAACTCCTGGATTTCATGTTCTGCAGAAGATGTCATTCAACTATATAAAATAAAGATTTATGACCAATGGATGAAAAAACAATGTTTTGTACTTACCATGTTTAGGGCTGAGGATGGGAAATGGGTCACCAATCTTCCAGAAGAAATAGAGAAACGCCAGCCAGGAGGCAACAGTCAGCATTCCGATCACATGTCTCTTCTGGGGCACTAGCAGAGGAGTTCAGGATTGATATAGAAATGTATGTACACAACAGAGGAGTTCAGGATTAATATAGAAAAGTATGTACACAACAGAGGAGTTCAGGATTGATATAGAAATGTATGTACACAACAGAGGAGTTCAGGTATTAATATAGAAATGTATGTACACAACAGAGGAGTTCAGGATTAATATATAGAAATGTATGTACACAACTGAGGAGTTCAGGATTAATATAGAAATTTATGTACACAACAGAGGAGTTCAGGATTAATATAGAAATGTATGTACGCAACAGAGGAGTTTAGGATTATTATAGAAATGTATGTACACAACAGAGGAGTTCAGGATTATTATGTATGTATCGGTACTCAACATTAAGAAGTACCAATAACTATAGTATCATTTTTTTGGAAACTTCGTAATTCATTGATAGAAATTAACTACATAATTCATTGATAGAAATTAACTTAACTTCATAATTCATGGATAGAAATTAACTTCATAATTCATTGATAGAAATTAATTTAGGCAGTTCAATAAAATTTGAGATACTAATGACAATGTACGGCTTACCTAGCCTTAGGTTACCAATAATGAAATAAGCAATGTAAAATGGTAGAACCGCAATCAGCACAAACAGGATGGCGTACAGTCCAAGCTTCCAGTGGAAATATCTCGAACTGCAATGAAAATTGTTTTAGAAAAGAAAGTTGCAGTCTCCAGAATATGTGACATGGTTAAAACCCTGTTTTTGTTTGAACAGACATCATACATTATCGTGTAGATTAATCCAAAGGTCTAATAAATAAAATACCTGTCATAATGTGTCTGATATAAGTACTGGTATGTTAGTCATCTATATAGACCAGCATGTCATCAATACACAATGGTTACCTTGTGTCATAATGTGTCTGATATATAGTATGTTAGACATCTATATAGACCAGCATGTCATCAATACACAATGGTTACCTTGTGTCATAATGTGTCTGATATATAGTATGTTAGACATCTATATAGACCAGCATGTCATCAATACACAATGGTTACCTTGTGTCATAATGTGTCTGATATATAGTATGTTAGACATCTATATAGACCAGCATGTCATCAATACACAATGGTTACCTTGTGTCATAATGTGTCTGATATATAGTATGTTAGACATCTATATAGACCAGCATGTCATCAATACACAATGGTTACCTTGTGTCATAATGTGTCTGATATAAGTACTGGTATGTTATACAGCATGTCAACTGATACACAATGGTTACCTTGCGTCCATGAATCCCAGAATCTCAAAGATGATCAGCTCAAACATGGTACAGGACAAAGAGAAAGTCACAGAGAACACGAGGAGGACGACTGAGTGGTGCACCTGGGGACATAAATATTTTAATATATAAGTTATCAATATAAAATAGTGACAGGCAATTGGTATAAAATCATAATTGATAATTGGTATGTAAGCATGACAATATCTATAGTAACTCAATTCTAAAAAGAATGCCATACCTTACAGAACTTTAATGAAAAATACTGTATACATGTGCAGTTGAACTTTCACCTTCTTCGCTTTTCTTAATAATTAGGGCAAATGTATCATAACTGTTAACAGTGAATATGAGTACATAACATGCGACATATAGTAAGTGTTTGTCAAAGGCAAAATTATCACTGGGCGTATACAGATTTACAGAGTGAAGGGTAAATATTGGACTGGGCAAAAGTTTCCCAGTTTACAGTAAACGAAATGAACAAACAAACAAACAAACAAATCACCAACAGTATCCTGTGAGTAACATGCCAAGGAAGAGACCAGGATTGGAACTCTGAATTAATGTTCATCACAAATGCTCTAACCAACCGACCTACCATCAGCAAAAGTTCAATGGCTTGTTTGTCTGTTGCTTGAGTGTTTTTTTCATCCTTTTCACAACCAAGACAGTAACAGGGTTGTAGTGCAGACCACCGATGGCTCAGTTTTACCACAGTTAAACAGGGACAGAGCCTACTGTACATGTATGTATGGAAACTATATTAAAGTGGAATTCTCCTGTGTTTTTGCCTGTCGTTGGATAGGAATTCTGAATAGCTGCAGCATACCAGTGGGATACACTGAATGACAACAAGTTAAGTCTGTTTCCCAAACCCACACTACAGTGGAATGACATCTAAATAAATGACTGACATCATTGTCAAAATGTTTATTAACATTGCCCAGTAAAAAAGCAGGGATAATCCTAGAGGGGGTCATTGGGCCGTTGACCACTCAAAACTGAAATTAACCCCTTCATGTTCCAATCTTCTTTAAATTTTACATAGAATTCCCCTCTTAATTTTGAATCAATGATATCGACTAAAAATTGCTAAAAATGGCCCACTGCTCTCATATCCCAGGATTTCCCCTGAAAAAGGCAGTATTTTGATAAAGGGAGATAATCCGGCAGTCCTTTTATGTAATACCATTGAACATTCAACAATCTCTAAATTTTGTACAAATACTTAGACACAAATGCTGACATTTTATTTAAGTATAATTACCTCATAGTCTCTAAACAACTTCTTTATGAAAAAGACCCAGCCACCACCGAAAAACAGTATCTGCAATCAAAAAATAAAAGAATTCAGATGGAACAGATATCATAACTGAAGCAGAACTGGACTGGGTCGATCGTTGGCGACCTGAGGTAGCTCAATTGGTAGATTGTCCGTGTACAGTTTGTAGGGTCCAGGGTCCGCATCCCAGTCTGCCCTTGCCTTTCTCCTGTTCATAACATCATAGTATATGTAAAAATTATATATATATATACATGTATTTGTAATGTTGGAACCACTGACTGTCTATTGTAAAGATGGCTGTTAAATACAGTGAACATAATTTGATCTATTTCCGTGATATTATGACAGTATAATTAAGAATATGAAACATTGGAGAAATTGATGTAAGAGAAAGCAATTGAATTGATTGTCAGATGAAAGTAAAAGAATGAAAGACAGACTGTTGAGGACGAGGTGTTATTGTGAGAGAATGTAGGAATGGTGGTGTTGATGAAGAAAGGACAGGAAGCAAACTTTAGAGCAGTGAAAAGAGCAAGGGAGGTTTGTATCATTAGATATAACTGATAGTACAGACTGAAGCCTCGGAACCTTCATGGGCAAGTGGACATTTGACCACCTGATGCTGTCCATCTCATGAGGTTAAATCCCACCTTTATCAAATAGTTGACCAATAGAAATGTTAGTTATAGTTAATTTGCATGTTAGATATTTTCTAAGTTTTTATGTAGAATGGATATATATATAGAGAGAGAGATGTTAAACAAGAGGCCCAGACACCCAGTATCCCTCACCTGAATATGTTTAAAATAATTGGTATGAAGTAAAGATATAGCACTCCATGGTAGGTGCTGTAAGTACATATGAAATTTCAGAAAGATCCATCCAGTGCTTGAGATATAGCAAGCAAACTTCAAACATAGCCCCACCCCTAGGCCCCTATACCCACCGTTTATACAAAATTGAGTCCACTTGACCCAAGGATGATCCTGATGGTTGAAGAAAGATTTTAAAGGTTTTACCTCTATTTCTCCTATTGGGCCCGCCCTTCTGCCCCCTGGGAGACCACACCCACTGCTTATATACAAAATTGAGTCCCCTTGGCCAAAGGATGCTCCAGACTAAATTAGGATAAAATCCTTAATCCCTATGGTAGAAGAAAGATTTTAAAGGTTTTACCTCTATTTCCCCCATTGGGCCCCGCCTCTATGCCTCCAGGAGGGCCATACACACCATTTATACAAAATTTGTTCCCCTTCCCCCAAGGATGCTCCAGACCAAATCTAGTAAAAATCTAGAAGAGATGACGGACGACGGACGCTGTGGTATGGCATAAGCTCGCCATAGTACCATGGTCCTTTGGACCAGGTGAGCTATAAACAATGATCATCCTAGCTTTGCAACAGGGTTTCCCTTTCAGCAGACTGGGAAGCTGGGGATATCTTAAGTTTGATCCTCGGTATAAGCACACTATTCTCTTCTTTTTACCTTTTGTCTATTTGGTGACAAGGAGTTAGTTGCGATAATGTAGCTGCTGACGACGAGACCATTTATATATTGCGTCGTCAGAGCTATGAATCGGTCATATACTGACTAAGGGAGCAAAATCAAAAGTGTACAATCTGTAAGATTACATATAGTTCACGCCTCATATGAGTATAATGCCCATATGTTAAAATAAGAAATCTTAAAATAACTGTGAAGCTGTGATAATGTAGCTTCTGATGAAGAGACATTTTTTAAGGGGCAGAGGAGATACGTATTAATATTAGTACTAGAGGCCGGGTATAAATATTAGTACTAGAGGCCGGGTTTAAATATTAGTACTTACTTGGTCTGAGTGAGAATCTGGGTTTTTGTGTAAGAACATTTAATAAGGATGAAGTACATAATATGACAGGTTTCAATTGTATAGATATATATGTGTAGTATAACCACAGGTACTAGCCTTGTCTGTCAATACACCTTATAATATAATCAGGTGTATTGACAGACGAGGCTAGTACCTGTGGTAGAGGAACAGTGCCGTCGCTGGGCCTCGAACCTGCGACTCTTGGCTCTCCAGCCAAATGCTCTACCGCTGAGCTAATTATAAAGGGAAATACCGTACAGCTAACGTTTGTAAGTCAAGCTAAGAGGGATCAAATTAGCACCGAGCTTGGGGTTGCAGGTCGCGTGATCAACGGAAATGGGTTGCTATCGATGTCCCTTCCTCATATTTCTTAGAAGTGTATTTCGGACACCAGTGCACGAGATAATGACACCAGGTGTACACATATGTCTCGTGTGCTTACATTTGTCTTATACGTATAGTAACATTTGACTATTAGTCAGATCTGTTAGTTGTGCCGGTGCAACATTTTTTAGATTCAGATAACATTTACGTTGATCAAGTTCCTAAACTAAACAACGCTTGCTTGTTTACGTTTCCTACCTGCGAGAAGACAATCAGCAACGAATCGACGAGGAAGGACATCTCTAAGATTAAGACCGTCCGTTACTTTAGAAGCAATTTATTATAAGACGTCAAAATCGATCATATATTAGTCCTTCCAACGTCAACATCTACACGTGTGGAAACCCTCCATGCCTTTCGGGTTCTGACACAACTTAATTTTTCGTAGAAATCCCGCGCTGAAAATAGAAAGGTTTCAAATGGACTAGAAATACACCGGTCCTTCTGATTGGACATATTTTCCTAGATCAGTTTACTAATTATTTATCACTTTCTTCATGTTCGCAATGATAAGATTAAATTAATAATAGTGCTGAAATTCATAGCATGTATCTTCAGCTTGCAGATGTATTCAAATGAGAAAATAAAATCTTTCTGATGAGTTTAAGAAGGAAATCCCAAAGAAGGAAATTTCCCCCGGTAGCCAATCAACGCTTAGATAAGAAATCGTCTTCGGTCGCAGGAAAACCCCCATGCACTTGTCGGCCATTGATCGGAATGATGTGAAACATCCGTAAACAATGTCTGCCGAACGAAGCTTTCTTACGGCTAAAGCAAAAGAAAACAACGACTGTTATCAGAGATAGATTAAGTATTGGTTCATGTTGATACGCAAAAGCATTACCAACAACTTTTGTTCGCACAGAGACTGGTCTTATTGAAATTGCGTTGTGGAAACTTCGACGTTTGGTGATCCGCAAAGATTTGCACATGCCGTGCATTTTAGGCCGGCACCGTATCAAACTGTACCATGACTGTTGAACAGCCTGCACTTCACCAACGCTGTCATACACAGGTATTTCTTGATCTCTTCCTAATTAATCAAGAGTATTCAAATTCGACAGATTGAATAGAATGAAAAGGTTTCATAATTCTTGACTATATATTTTAGCGAAAGTCGAAATGGAATTTAGGATGAGTTTAGACGATAAGAATCTAGCATTCTTCAGTAATCTGTTTATAACATTTACCAAATATCTATGCCTTTGTCTTAAACTTTCTCGAGAAGAATTCATAAAAACAAATATCTTGACACAAAAAATGTAATGCCAAGTGCATCATTGGCATTGCCAAAGTTGCTGCAGTACTGCACAGACCCAACTGTCTGGGCACTCCACAAATTAAATTCTGTCAGCTTTTAAATTTGTATCAGCACACACAAAGTGCAAGAATATTTGAGTGGTTTCAGCAGTATATCGGAAGATACTGCTGATATACGATATAGATGTGACCTAATCAGCGGGCACATATATGAAAATAATGTTTTCTGCATAATTTGCATGTACCTATCAGTAAAGTACATTTGAATGTACATTATTAAAGATCCAATCCTTGCATACTTCAATGGGCATACCCATAGATTTTCTTTTGAGGTAAATCGGTTATTTATTTAAAGCCATCCTTATTATCAACAACAGTGGAGTCTAGGTGTTCAATTGTTCAAAATTTTGCACCTGAGCTACACCATTTTGTAGGTTATGCAAATTAGTTTACACGGTAGTGTAGATCATCTGCATAAAGATATTTAATTAACTAAAATCATTCTGCATTCCATTTTAGGATATTTTGGACCTCTAGTTATTTCTTCTATCTAAACTACTCTACTCTAAACCTGAAAATATTTTGATACTATAATGATAGGCATATATCAGTCACACTAGAAATAAGAAATCTTGTGGAAAATTGGTCTCATATGAACCCTTGGCTCCACATGTTAATTTAACAGTTTTACTGATTTAACTATTAGTGACCCCATGGGGTAATGTATACTTCTTCTCTAGAAAGCAGTATCTTCCCCTTATACTTTCTTACAACTGGCTAGAGTGCTTCACTATTTCCTTCTCCATGAAATCTCACTCAGAGACTTGACAATAGAAAACACTGTAATTGATATGATGCAGCCATGACCACCCAATGTAATGCGCAAGAGGGCACATCACCCATCGAGCTGCTCACTGTCTCCCGTTTGATGTTTTTAAGCTACATACATGAAGAAGTCCCAGCATTATGCTTCATTGCTGGAAATGCTATATCTTGAAACAGCTGCAGTGAGGCAGTATTTCCCCTTTTTATTCCTTGGCTGCTACAGTTTGGTCACAGGAAGTTGTACTCCTGCTGTCTTTCATCATGAAGAAGAGTGTGCAATTTCATATTTCATAATGTTAATATACACCCCTCAGTAGCCTGCAGGTTGATTTTGAAAAGCCCAACCTATACTTTTCATATAGTAAATACTGAAAAAGTTCACAAGCCTCAATATTCAATTCACTTCAAAAGTATTTTATTTACGGTACATAGATATATATAATACAAACATGTAAGTTGTTTATATTAAATTAGATGCTAGTACAGAAATGACAAAAGAATCAGACAACAGGCTGAGTCTATATATATCAGTCTTCTATTCCGGTAGTAGTAGAATGTTGTTAGTCTCCCTTGAGGTCTCACACACATGCTTGACAACATAAAATCTTTGTACTAGATCCAAGTGTATGACTAGTCGAATTGTACACCCCTGTTGAGATTATAATAAAATTAAACTTGTATTACTAGTTCCAAACTTCCATCTGATTAATATGAAACTTCTTTCTTTAAACCTTGTTAAAGAATGATGTATTTTTTTTTATACTCATCTGTTTTTTGTAACTAAATAAAACTTTTTCAGACATAGTTATGGATACTAAGCTGTTAATTTAATTGAAACATGAGAACACTTTTTAAAAAATGTATTCATAATACCGGTATTTATGATAAAATTCAGCTTTTACATGTTGTTGAATTTCCAAAGTTTTTTTTATATCAAATACAAAAGTGAATCCTTTTTAAATTAATGTAATTTTTTTCTTTCAGCCAAAAAGTGCAGAAGAAAACTATGTGTATGCCCAGATCAAGGAAATAACGGGCATAGATGATGAGCGTGTGATCAGAAGAGCTATCACCGCGTGTCAGGACCGGGACGGGAAGTACGAGATTGAGAATGTTGTAACTATGCTGCTCGGTGATGACTTTGTTAATCCAGCTCTAAAGAAAAAGGTAATGAGTCTACAGACAGAATTAAAAAAGGTGATTTGCTTAGAAAAGGTCCCTTTATAATTATTCTCACAGGGCAACTGTCCAGTGTTTTTTTGCTACCTAAATTTTCCAACAGTCTGTTCCTTTATGAATTAGGGGAAAAGTATAGCACTATTTGTACTGAAATTGAGAATATTTTCCTCAGTTTTTGGTTATCTTTGGAAAATAAAACACCTTTTAGCAAGGGGAAAACAGTCTGTATTCGGCAGTAAAATTGAGCAAAAAAATCACAGCTGTCTTGTAGCAATTGTTTACTCCTTAGTGTACATAATAAGTACAGTAATGACTCAAGTTACCACATGTTTCGGAAATCCCTACTTTCAGTGTCTACCTTATCTTTGAATGATTCAATCAGAGCAGTATATATTTGTAACAGAGGTCATTATTTTTTCAATGCCTCTGCTAGGAGTCGAACTTGGGTCCTCTAGCTTACTAGTTATACACTGTACTGAATGATCTAAAGAGAAACTCTCCCTAGCCGAGTCGGTAGGAATCGGCTAGTATTTTACCAGTGTGACATATTGTTGTAAATCAGGACTGTGCATATATAGCAGGGGACGAGAGACTAGTATTGCCTAAATGTGTTCTTAACTCATTCACCCCTGAAGACACATTTGAACTCTTCCAAATTAAAGGTTGGAATAGTTCATTATGAAATTTCAGGGGTGAATGAGTTAAAGCACCCTACCTTGATTGACAGACCTGTGTGGATGCTGTAAGTGATTTACTCTGTAAACGCTGTGCGGGATAGGTACCTATTGCAAATGAGAAAAAAGGAATAAGCAATGCATTTGATGTCAGGGATTTTCCTACCATATTTTTTCCAGGTCCAGTGTTAAATGAATTGGGAATTTTTACGCTGTAAAATTGAAACTGGAGAAAAATGAGGGGAAATAAAAAAAATCATACATTTTCCAGTTTCTGTTAATAAATTTTACTTCTTATCATGAGAAATTGCATTCTTTGATATTGGAATTTATTATTTATTTTTCAATGCATAAGCTTAGGTCTAGTACATCTAGTATAGGCTTGTAAAAATTCTGATAGCCAGAATGTATTTTTACTATTTCATTATACTATATCACATATATACGGTAGTTGTAATATTTGTCCATTTCCTTTAAAAGGAAAACTTTGATTTTGATTTATAAAAGATACTGAATTAGTTACAAAGATTGCTTCTTTGATGGTTAGTATCACTTTCTCGAGTAATACATGTTGTAAATTTGTTTTACTCCAACTTGAATCACGCAGGCGAGACAAAAATAGCAAAGTTTTACAACATCAATACAACGGAAATAACTTGATAACATTCTGATGTATACTTTTGAAATTTAATTTTCAAGGGATTAAAACATATTTTTACTTTTCTTACGGACATGAATGTTTTTACATCTTCCCTCTCCACACTGAGCATATTTAAATCTTGCAAAAATGGCCATCCAATTGGGAATTTTTCAATGGTAAATTGGGAGTTTTAGCAAGATTTTACGAGGGGAAAGGAGCCGTTATTCGCCCCAAATTCTACTGTAGGAAAATCCCTGGATGTATATAAAGTGGAGAACCAGTCCAAAAACAGAAACATAGGTTTATAACTGGACATCAATGTCAACCGGCAGTTATAGTATCGACCAACAGCTCTCACTCCCGGCAAATTGTTACGATTAAAGCTAAAGGCTAGAGCTTTAAAACTTTATATGACTCTCAAACATTTATCCCATAAATGTGTCCACTTTCAGATGGTGATTTTAGATTTTACTTAGTTTAAAAAGAACACGTAGCAGGGTTGAGTGATTCTAACCAGTGTCTGGGTGAATTCTTCATTGTAAGAAATATTATTACATTGGTTCCTCAAGTCTTTACAGTGCTCAGTAAACTTATATTGATAAGCATGGAAGTAATAACAACAGCGTAGACAAGGGAATTGGTCAAACTTTAAACGCTATCAAAGATATAGAGAAATAAACAATTACATATATCACAACATATAACACAGAGATTAACAGTCAGTACGAAACAGTACAACATCACAGAATACATGACAGAATAAAAAACAGCTATTACTTGCATGGCATACTGATGTTAACACATATCCCTCTGGCTGGCTGGTAGCCGAAAGCTGTTTACAGTATAAAGAAGTCATAGTGAAAAATCATCAGAATTGTTCCTGATGAAATTTTTATTTAAATCTTTTTCATTACCATGAGTTCACATGGTTTTGATTCGGGTAAAAAAAAAATCTAAATTGCATAAAGTAAGGAAAGTAGGCTTGTTAAGTGCTGATCAGAAATGTAATTTAGTGTAATTTTGATTTTATAGTCTGGCGTGACAGCAGTACCTTCCATCGTTGTACAAGAAGATGCAGCCACTGACTTGAAGTCTGGGACAACCACTGTAGATGCCAGGCCACGCTCTACTCCCGCTGATCGGGAAACCACCACACAGGGGACACAGGAGGCAGGTACACAAGGGGCTACAGCAAGGAAAAGTGGTAAGTTGTTGCGGCGATCAGCTACTAGTTGGAAATTATGATTTCATGTTTAAAGGTAGCTGATTTATCTGATAAATAAGAAAAAGAATTGCCCAGAAAGGCTACCAAAATTTCAAGAAGACCGTAAATTGCAGGTTCTGTATATATATATGTATGCACCACCTAGTGGGTGATACAACTTAGAGTAGGCAGATCCTTTGATTTACATGAAAAGAACTGAACAGCAGCGCAACAGTAATATTGACTGACTTTGAAGACAGGTGTCGCTGCTATGTGATGTACAAAGGACAGGAATCAGTCGAGTGATTGGTGATCAGGGTTTCTTTTACTTGAAACCAATCAAATTGCTAACTTGCCTTCAATTATGCCTTGACATCTTTCAGAGATGCAGATAGCATACATAAATGAGTGTAACCCCTGGAGTATCAAGGATAGTAAAAATGAGGAATGGAACGAAGGATTTGATTTAATTTTGTTATATTAATACAATATTAACGTTGTGGTATAAAAAGTTTCCCTCAATTTGTGATGGTTGATATTCATTTTCAAATTTCTGAGTCAAATTATGATCAGCCACGCACCACTAGTTGATGAACCAACACCAGGTAAATGAAAAGAAATACAATTTGAGTAAACTACCATTCTGAACTATTTCTGGTCAGATTGGTAACTTCATATATATACTTAAATTAATCAGGTCCAGTATACTCTGCCTATAGAGCTATATAGCTATTAAGACCTATATAGCTATATTCACCTATAAATTATAGCTGTATTGAGCTATATTTTCTCAGATTTCAATTTTCATTAAATTAAAGCAAAGTCGCATAAAACAATAAAGTTTATGGTAATGCTGACTACAAAAAGCAAGCAGTTAGATGTTTATTTTCATTTTTCATAAATGTAAAATTTCCGATTTTTTTACATCATTATTTTTTTAAAAAGAATACTTCTATTTAATGTCTTTTGTTATCAACATAATGATAAAATCTTTTTTTTAAAGCGACTTTGTTTCATTTTCCTTAAAAAAGAAAATCACTTGAAAATAGCTCAAAATACCTATTTCAGATAGGTCAATATAGCTATTATAGGTCTTTACAGCTATATAGCTCAATCGGCAGAGTGTACTGGACCTGTTAATTATCATGCGAAAACCCAATGAATTAAAGAAGCTTTGTATAGGATGACAGAAGTTATCCACCATGCTCTGATTGGCTACAGGGAATGTTATAGATCTGACCAATGAGAATGCATCAGGAAGTGACCAGCTGCAAAAAGCCATCGTTGCCAGTCTCCAAGACACCCAAGGAATTCTGGGAGGACAGGTGTCGCGCGAGGAACAGGATATCAGCAGGTATAGAATTGATACTTGTACATTTAAGAAAAATATTTTAGAAGCAGAATTTAATCTAAAGTTATCCATTAATTGATAAATTGTGTGAGCATTTCTCCCTCCGGGTGTGTGTGTGTGTCTGAAACGATTTACCAAATCATATTATTCATATTATTCATATTATATCATGATAGTGTACTTACTTTAGAAAAATCGGTTGTCCACTGTACAATCATACCTAAAACTACTTGAATCATAAAGTGATATATTATGATAGTTCTGTTTTAAACACAATGACAAAACTCTAAATCTAAATCCTTCACTTAAATTCATTGACTTTTCAAACAAGTGTGTGTATCATGGTAAGTATAATTTTGTATTAAGCATTTTACCGCGATACGTGCGGTATCGTGAGGTATGCATATCGTTTTAGCCCTATACAGTGCCGTATTGTAGAAAATCATTCAATGAGTCTCCCTGACTCAAGTAACAAATGGTAGGAAAATGGAGCAGAAAAAAATGTCACAGTAAACAGACCGAGATAAGTATTGCTGTCTTATTGTTATTGGAAGACACAGAATATCCCTGAATCTGCAGGGACCCCAACATTAGTCACCTCATACAATCATGCAGGAGGATACTGCAGGCCACTTCTTTCCCATTCGATCTACTGAGGTAGCGCTTAATTTACAATAGCGAACAACACACCATCACCTGAAATTTATAAATCAGTGTGTTCGAGGAGACTCTGTTAAATATGTACAGTATACCACACTCATGGCAAAAATCAAACAATACTTGGCATGTCTGAGTCATTATTCACTAATATTGGGATTTCTGTTCTTTAGAGTTTTAGAGCAGAGTTTAGCTGAGAGTAAAGCGGGTACCAAGAGGAAGCGAGGAGATATCTGGTTTGTGGATCCGCTGAACCCTCACGAACGGAAGAGACAGGAGGAATGCCCAGTGGGACTAAAAAATGTGGGCAATACCTGCTGGTTTAGTGCTGTCATACAGGTGAGCTAGTAATCTGAAAAATACTTGATTTCCTGTCCTTCACTTACAGATATATGCTGGCAAAATATGCATAATGTTGAATTTAACAGTATTAGAAAATACAGTGTTACCCTGTCAATTAAATGAGGTTGGCCTGTCATTGGGATGAAGATCTCAAAAACATAACAGACATATTCATAAATTTGAATTTATTTAAAAATATGATGAAGCTGTACAGATTCGTTATAACTACATCATTGCCTTGCAAGAAAACTTGTTAGGAATTATTGAATGTACTGGTCAAGGTCACTTCATGGTTCTTGTGAACGTTGAAGATAACTGGACGTTACACTGTAGTTGGACTTCCGAGTCTATTTTGTTGCTGTATAAACCATGGACAATTATAGAAACAATATTCTGACATATATTCTGCTGTGTTATCTGTACTTATTTTTAACACAAAGCATTTATTCCTCTGGGACAGAATTATGTTCTTTCACTTTGACAAAAGCATGTTTATTTTACTTTCGCAAAATAACGGAGTTATAAGTATTTTAACTTTATTGTATTTTCATGTTTTGCAGTCATTATTTCATATACGAAGATTTCGACACCTTGTCTTGAACTTCCATTCACCAAATGAGTCTAGTCAAGGCAATGGAGCAGTAAGTGAAATAAGACATATAAAGGGAAATATATAAAACTGATCTCTGCTGTGTTTACAATTTCTGCTTTATGATGTGAAAACAGTTTAAGTACAAATCAATTAATATAACAAAATATTTTGAAAAAAAAAATTGGAAAAAGGATCAAATGTGTAGAAAATAATAGCAAAATGTGGTTTTTATATCACAGAATAGTATCAGATTTTTTGTACCAATATAGACTTTTCTTGAGAATTGCATACATCTTACTTCAAAACAATTGTAAATCTTAACAGTTAATACTATGCTTATTTCACTGTTAGGAAAAATGGAAATATTTAAAAAGATGATCTTAATCATTTCCTGTATGTATATTCATAAATGTTTTGTTTACAGGAGTCGAGGAATCTACGGTTTATGACCGAGCTGCGCTATCTATTTGGGTTAATGATAGGTTCCCACAAAAAGTATGTGGATCCTTCTAAAGCAGTAGAAATACTGAAGGAAGCTTTTTCATCGTCTCCGTCCTCGTCCGGGGTCGGGGAGAGTCAGCAGGTAAATATAGCTACATCACTGGCGTCTGTGTCATGGGGTTCAACCATTTTTGCTGTAAAAAATAATACTAATTAATGAAGTTATGGTTTAACCTTTCACATCAACATTTGACAAATTTTGTCTGGTGTAAGTCTTCGAAACGTTTTTAACCTGGAGTAACCAGATTTGGTATGGAGGTTTATCATGACATGGCTAGTGGAGTACGAAGTACAAGTGGTATGTCACTGTGACCTATATCCTGAGATAGGTGAACAGCTCAGAAAATAAAGAAATCTAGGGGGACTCTGGATTGCCTTGCAATACTTTGCCTTATTACAAAAGTTATATAATTTAACTAAGTATAATATTGAGGTTCTTATATACCGCTTTATCACAACCTAGGTCGTCTCAAAGCTGTTCACAAATTATTATCCGTGGTAATAGGGCCTTTGCAACCAGTCAATAGCTTTCTCAACTCCCTGGGGAGCATATAGCCGGTGCTGCCATTTAGGCCTTCACAGCTAGCATTCAACAATTCATGCACTGCCCAACCAAGTACTCATTAACAGCTGAGTAGACTGGAACAAGCAGAGTAAAGTATCTTGTTCAAAGATACAACACAGTGCCGTGACTCGTACCCTCTACCCTTCAGTCATGAGCCCGGCGTCCTACCACTAGACTACTGTGCCTCCAATAATTTAATTAATTATAATACTGAGGTTCCTATATACTGCTTCATCACAACCTAGTTTGTAGGTCGTCTCAAAGCGGTTCACACATTATTATCCGTGGTAATAGGGCCTTTGCAACCGGTCAATATCTTTCTCAACTCCCTTTGGACCATACAGGCGGTGCTGCCATTTAGGCCTTCACAGCTAGCATTCAACAATTCAAGCACTGCCCAACCAGGTACAAGTTTATTAACAGCTGAGTAGACTGGAACAAGCGGAGTAAAGTATCTTGTTCAAAGATACAACACAGTACCGTGACGTGACTTGTTCCCCCAACCCTTCAGTCTCGAGTCTGATATCCTACCACTAGACTACCGTGCATCCTACTACTTTTGATGTGTTGGGCTTTGTACTTTGTTCAGATTTTAGATACATTCATGATAACTGACCTGGACACTAAAACTCTTTTCATATCCATAGACTTTTAGACAGCTTAACTGTGAAAAAGGCTCTGATGCCTTAAAAACGACATGCTCCATTTAACAGTTACTTTCAATCACATCTTTCCGTTTCAGCCAGCCTTAATTGTATGCCTGTCCTGCAAACGCTTTTAGATAGTAATTACATGAGCTATTGATCTTATTTTGTTTCTTGTTTCTTCGAATGGTCACGCTTATTGACTAGTTTATCTTGGCTGATATGACCCTAGTTGTTGATGGGCTGTTGAACCAAATCAATCTATTTTCAGTTTTACTTTTTCTTGTACGTTGTTTGGATACAGGAGTTTATACACGAGACTTGACTGTTTTTGTCATTATTACAGGATGTTAGTGAGTTTCAACACAAGCTACTGGAGTGGCTAGAGGATGCCTTTAAGGCAGACACATCATGTCCCTCATCTCCTGAACAGAAAGAGTAAGTACTGCGGACAACAGTGGAGTTCTCTAAACACAGTCATCTTTAAAATTTATTGAGTATAGAAAATATTATACAATATTATTACTGGTAGTTCTGGTGTCTGAAAAATGTTTGAGATATTTTATTGCGTGCTGAAATTTTTTAATTCCTGAAAAGTGATATACAGTAGTGTGTTATTGATCAGGCAATGTGGAATTTGTTATAAACGGTAGAAAGTGACTCATCTGACAACCTAGACCTGTCAATGTATAAGATGTATTGGAAATTGATTATCAGGGAATTTTAAACTTACAGTACTATATAAAAACAATTTTCAGACAAGCAGGAAATCTCCTTTTATATTGGTCAATATTATAAATCGGACAATCAAAATATCACAGTTTAGAATAAAAGATAATTTATCAGACAACCAGAAAATCTCAATGTGTGATAAAAAGTCATTGATTAATTAGTCCATCTCCCCAATGATAGACTTTTTCAGGTTATATTGTACAACCGGGAAAAGTCTGATTTCCTTGTGTTTCATGTACCACAACTTTTGTTTTGTGTTACAGCAGTGCTGAGGGAGATACCAATATGAAAAAGATGAAGAACCCAATGGTGGAGTTGTTTTATGGACAGTATCGAGCCGAGGGTACCAATGAGGGTAAGGGAGGGAGAAGTTTTTTTACAGACAGTATCGAGCCGAGGGTACCAATAAGGGTAAGGGAGGGAGAAGTTGTTTTACAGACAGTATCGAGCCGAGGGTACCAATAAGGGTAAGGGAGGGAGAAGTTGTTTTACATACAGTATCGAGCCGAGGGTACCAATGAGGATAAGGGGGAAGTTGTTTTACGGACAGTATTGAGCTGAGGGTACCAATTAGGGTTAATGGGGAGGGGAGGGGGAGTTGTTTTACGAACAGTATTGAGCTGAGGGTACCAATTAGGGTAAGGGGGAGTCGTTTTACGGAGAGTATCGAGCTGACTTATGAGAGTAATGGGAAGGGGGGGGGGGGGGGGGGGGAGTCTCTTATAATCAGTGTTTGTGTTTCTATTACACATACACAGACACATGTCTTTATAAAATCACTGTTCATAAAAAACTTGCTGTTTTAAGTGAAAATTTCCATGAGAATAAAAGAAGTGAATTAAAAAAGGATATAGAATAAATATTGAAATTAACAACAAAATTTGAAGTTCAGAGGAAAAGGTGGAATAGAGTTGTATCAGGTCTAAATCCGTCAAACTAATGGCTCATTTCAGGAAATTTGATAAGTAATATGTTTAATACTACACTAGTATAGTCTGTTGGTTTTTATCATCAGTAGGTTAAATTACAAAAAACAAAACTCTTTGCTTGATAAAATAGTCAAGAACTATAATCTGATGTTGATGTTCAGGTATTGATTTGTGAAAACAAGGTGAAGTCTCTGAAAAGTGTCTGATCTTACCTATATTTGTCATTTAACTCGTTTCCCATAGGTCACTTACATAGTTGTATATGGTGTTATGTCTCTTCTAAATCTGATATAGTTTAAATGTACACAAGATTTGATTACTAAAGCACACACACACACAAGTGGGGTGCTAGGAGTAATAAACCAAGAGAGACCATGACAGATTAAGTAGTAAATCAGCATTCACTTATGTGTGGAATTTGTTGAAAGGAAAAGTTGAAAATGTGTTTTTCCTTAACAGGTTTCATTTTTCTTTCGAAGTTTTCCATTGTAGAACTGTCATCTGATCATTGGATTTTTTGTTTTTTGTAATTTTAATATTCTCATTCCATAAAGACACTGTTCGTTGAAATTGAAATTCAGGATTTAGAATGTATTTTTTTCTGTTTAATGTACAGGTAAGGGCTTTAGCAATGATGAGACGTTCGGCCAGTTTCCTCTACAGGTGAATGGTTTCCGTGATGTTCACGAAAGTTTGGAGGCCGCCACTGCTCCTGGGGTGATAGAAACCATCAGCAGTAATACTACGCAAACATCTGGGCAGGAGGTAAATATAACAGCCATTTGTCGAATGATGGCAGGAGGTAAATATAACAGCCATTTGTCTAAATATGGCAGGAGGTTATTATGACAGCCATTTGTCCTATGATCGTAGGAGGTATATGTAAGCTGGCACTTGTGGGCAGAAGGTTGGAATGATAGAAATATGGACAAATATCAGAGTCGAATGTAATACATGTATGAAGATAACAAACTTTCTATATTAGTGATGTTGTACAGTTGGTTGGTTGTACAGGGTTTAATGTCCTATTAACAGCTAAGGTTATTTAAGGACATGCCTCCATGTGTGCTGGAGACAGGATATGTTAGTGTGTTTGCCTCCTAGTGATAGCACGGATCTGATGCCGACTTTATAGGGTTATCTAACTGAAATATCATGATGAAGTCACCCAGCACAGAATTCACCCGGTCACATTATACTGACAACGGGTGAACCAGTTGTTGCCATAGCTCTTAATACTGAACGCTAACTGTTGTACAGTCAGACCTGTTTATGCAACCACCTCTATTAAGAGACCACCTGTGTGAGAAGGCCACTTATAATGTTCTCCATTATAGGGATTTTATTTTGAACTGAACCTGTATTAAAAGACCACCATTTGAACTAATACAGGGTTGCCTGCTTGTTAATGTCATAGCTGAACCATGGAAGATAAAATATGTTATCATGATTATATCAGGTTTTGTTTTTACTCATAAATATAACCTAAGCTTTCATCATCTTTCATTTCAGCTCTGGTTTACACGACTGCCACCTGTTTTGACCTTTGAACTGTCTAGATTTCAATTTAATCAGCAATTAGGGCGACCAGAGAAAATCCACAACAAAATAGAATTCCCTCAAGTGATCTATATGGACAGGTAAGACAATCGGTCCTGTTCAATTCAACACAAGGTTTGATCAAATCTATTACCTGTAACTGAGTTACAGTTAATACCTGTAACTGAGTTACAGTTAATACCTGTAACTGAGCGAGATCGGGTTACATCAGTCGAGGGCTAGGATTCTGTAACATAAGGGGTTGAGATGTTACAGAATCTTAGCCCTCGACTGATGTAACCCAATCTCCCTCAGTTACAGGTATTAATTGATACTTTTTTCTTTTCCACTTTTTAGTCCGAAAACTAATCAATTTCGCTGAAATCTACAAGTATCCCATTTGGGACCTCAAATAAATATGGCCTATTCACTGCTAAAAGCTACGAATCAGAACAGAAAAATTGAATATCTTTTGGGTTATAGAGGAAAAACGTGCGACAAAACCATAATATTTATATTTGCTATGTATCTTTCCATTGCAATGAGAAGGCAAATGTTGTTATGAGACTTTAACAACATTTGCTATTGTAATGTCATCAATCTTTTTGTGATGTCATCAATTTTATTGTTGTCAATACTTAATTTGCTGTTCAAACAACTGTTCAAAATAACTATATACCAGGGTAAAGTGTAACTACTCTTATCATAATGTAAATATAGATAATGAATATTTTAGCAAATGTTGTTATGGTCCTATAACACACATTGCTATTGCTGACAAACTTACAGGTTTTAATTGATTTTTTTTCTCTGCAACGTTTTAGTCTGAAAACTATTCAATTTTGCTAAAATCTACAAGTATCCAATCTGGGACCTCAAATAAATATGGCCTGTTCGCTGTTAAAAGCTACGAATCAGATCAGAACAAATTCGGGAAGGCTTTATGTAAGTTTGTCAGCAATAGCAATGTGTGTTATAGGACCGTAACAACATTCGCTAAAACATTCATTGTTTAAGTGAACTGAAAAGAGCTTTTCTCTGTATTCTGTTGATCAATTGATTGACCTTTCTTTTATAGATACATGTGCTGTAACAAAATAGAAACAAGACACAGACGGGAACAAGTCAAAAAGTTACGAGAGGAGTTATCTATTCTAAATACAAAGTTAAACAAGTAAGTATGGCACTAGCTGTTTATCCAGATTTTTCAAATTGTCAAAAATCGAAAATGTATTCAACTTTCTACAGAGATAGTGATTTAACAAGGTATAATAGGCTAGAAATAATGATTGATTAAGGTAATATAGCCCAGAAATAGTGATTGAGTACTATATATAAAGGTAATACAGGCCAGAATAAGTGATTAGGGAATGTATTATAGGCCAGAAACAGTGATTAAGGAATGTGTTATAGGCCAGAAACAGTGATTAAGGAATGTGTTATAGGCCAGAAACAGTGATTAAGGAATGTGTATTATAGGCCAGAAACAGTGATTAAGGAATGTGTTATAGGCCAGAACAGTGATTTATATGAGAAATATATTATAGGCCAGAAATAGTGATTTATATGAGTAATGTATTATAGGCCAGAAACAGTGATTAAGGAATGTATTATAGGCCAGAAACAGTGATTTATATGAGAAATATATTATAGGCCAGAAATAGTGATTTATATGAGTAATGTATTATAGGCCAGAAACAGTGATTTTTTCAGAACTATGACAGAATTAAGCACTCAATAAAGTTTGAAATTCGTTTTAATAATTCATATCTTGTTAATTTATTATTTATTTACTAAAGTATTTGAATACTGGAAGTCTGGGTGTAGGCTTTCATAGAGCATTTAGATAATTATAAGGCATCTACTCTTAAAGATTTATCCATTGTGGATCTAGTAGTTACTTTGAGGTAATTGATATTGCATTAATGACGTCTACTCTTACAGATTTAACCATTATGGGTCAGGTAGCAAGAAGGTTCCCCTACAGGATGTGTTATCCTATGCTTTGGAGTTTGCCCAGAGTAAACCAGACCACATTTCTAGTCTCCCCCAAGATGTGGAAATGGAATCTCCCAAGCCACAAAGGTAAATCATCTTCATCCAGACGGTGTAGTGGAATCTGCCAGGTCCTATTTCACAAGTTTGGCTAATGAGAGCAGAGCTGGTACCTTGCAGTAAATATGTACAGTCAAACGTTGATGTTTCAAACTTCACGGGACCATCTGGAAAATTCAAAACATCCGGATGTCAACTCACGAAGATCCTGTAAATAGGACAGAATGGATTCTTTAAAAATGTGACAAAAAACACACTAAGGCATTTAATTTTAAATATAAATATCAAATTTCTTATCAAATTCATTATTTCTTTGTCAATTAAATTTTGGAAGCCTCTACTGTTAAAATAATCACCGGACATAGTAATGTTATAGTACAGGTGAATATTTCACTTCCATTTAATAGTTGTAATTTTCAATGTTTTCATAAAAAATGGGTCTTGATTATACTTCAAAACAGAGAGAAATTCGACTCATAAAAGTTTGATTAATGAGAAGATTATCAGTGGTGTTATATAAGGGGAAAGTTCTGGACTTTGTTGTAGGTTCAACATATCGAGAAGTTTGATATGTGGAAGTTTGACTGTATCATTGTGATGAACTTTTGTCTTGTGAAACCAACCCTCTTTGAATATAAACTTTTTAAGATAGATCCTGGGGGACTTTTACAGTCAGTAATACACAGACTTTAGTGGTTATTATGTAGTGTGATACACACATTCTTTTTCTAAAGTGATGTACGTAAGTTACAATGTAAGGATACTACCATTTTCATCCACAAATATGCCCATGCGTATATGGAATGTGAAAAAAATAGGGTGTTCTGATTATCAATTATGAGCGAAATTCAATCAAATACACAGATTTCAATTTAGCAATTGTGAAATTCCTTAATCATGAATCGGTTGAAATTATTTCATGTTATTTTCTGTAAATTTCTACTTATCATCCACCCAAATCTTTTCCTTTGCCAGCAGTTATGAGGTACATAATATATTTATTCTTGATGGATTTCTTAAAAGTTTTAATCTAAAAAAAATGGAATCTAATGGACAACTCATGATTTTGCATTTCAAATCACAACACTAAACTGCTTGATTTTAAAAGAAATTAACAAAGTTTGTCGATGCTTATTATTACCGATAATTGTCCATGAAAGGGGTTACAATGATAGATTATGATTTTTCTTCCAAATCCGAACACTAGTAGTGAAAGATTTATTTATTTAGTATGATATTAAAGACTTAATGTCAATATTTTGTAAGTTCTGAAAGGTATTCATCTACATAGTTATTAAAAAACCACTAAATAAAACTGCTAGGATTGAGTTATCTCCCCATTGACTGTTAGCATAAAAGATTTACATTTAGGCGATGGGAAAATATCACGTACTTATATGAAACTAGGTTGAAGTTTTTAGTTATGGAAATGTAGATAATTGTCCTTACTTGTATAATATGATATAATATGTGGAGAACCTAGAGTGGAGGTCCTAAACAAGATTACTCTCCACAGTGATATGAGCATGGCGACTGAATCGTCCCCGGTCAAGTCCCCGGGGACAGATGTGACCATGACCCCTGCGACCCCTCCCCGCCCTCACCGGACGGCAGGAGTAACCTCGAGTCCAGCTCCTCGCCACATCACAGACGGGGAGCTCCAGGTATTACAGGATTGTCTTCACCGCTGGAGGACGGAGGTGGAACAAGACGTGAGGGGTGGGTAACCAATAAAACATGGCCGAGTCTTAGCTCCTGTGGTGTGAGGCATGTCTCTACATAGGCTATCTGACTTCTGAAAACTAAAACTGTAGCTTTTAGGGCTGATGTGCTTTATACTTCATGTACACAACATGGAGACAAAAACTTTTACGGAAAATACGTTTTCAATTTACACAGGTTCGCTTCCTTAAAATTTTGAAAATCAATATTAATTGGGAAAAGAGAATGTAAAATTAATTTCTTGGAAATTCAAGATTTTGATATATTTGTATAATTGCATCTGGTTCAAACTGGCTTCAAGATAATGGACAGTTCAGACTGGAACGAATAAAATATGTTTTAATAGGAATAATAAGGTAATAAATATTGACTATCAAATGACACTCGTGTTAGGTAGGGTATTCATATGTATAGGAATATTCCATAATTTATGGTATGGGGGAGGTGGGAGGCACCTGTGTTATTATATTTTGGGTGGTAGTGTTAAAACTAGATCTGCTTTCCATTCAATATATTCAACAACTTTATATATTTAAGGGTAGTTGGGTCTCAGAAAAAGTGCCTCCAACCCATCCCCTTACAGGAAAAACCCTTATGTTAAATTTACACTTTACAGCAGAAATTATTTATTAAATATTCTATACCTGATTGTGACATCTTCAAAACATAAACTTTTGTGATATTACAGTATTTCATAGCATTTAAAATAAAATCCAAAGTTGTAAGCATTAAGTAGTGTTCCACGCAGAAATATCAGAATATTTCCGTAATTTTTTGTGTCACTTACCAAATAAGTGGGATTCACTGTATAGAGTCGAATCTGAGAAGGACAATGGTAGTTCATGTATTGTTAGATTAGTAGCATCACAGTAGGTTAACACTAGAAATTGAGTAGATAATTTATTAGGTTAGATTATTATTTATTTTTTTGTGATTATCATTTCGGTACATTTTTATTGAACGGTAGGTTTTATAATCATTACATTGTACAATAGATAGGTACAAACAATATGTATTCTTATTACACTAGTACTAAGGTTTTATAATCATTACATCGTACAATAGATAAGTACAAACAATATATATTACACAAGTACTAAGGTTTTATAATCATTACATTGTACAATATATAAATACAAACAATATATATTCTTATTACACAAGTACTAAGATTTTATAATCATTTCATTGTACAATAGACAACTACAAACAGTATATATTCTTATTACACAAGTACTAAGGATTTATAATCATTTCATTGTACAATAGATAAGTACAAACAGTATATATTCTTATTACACAAGTACTAAGGGTTTATAATCATTTCATTGTACAATAGACAAGTACAAACAGTATATATTCTTATTACACAAGTACTAAGATTTTATAATCATTTCATTGTACAATAGATAAGTACAAACAGTATATATTCTTATTACACAAGTACTAAGATTTTATAATCATTTCATTGTACAATAGATAAGTACAAACAGTATATATTCTTATTACACAAGTACTAAGGGTTTATAATCATTTCATTGTACAATAGATAAGTACAAACAGTATATATTCTTATTACACAAGTACCAAGGTTTTATAATCATTACATTGTAAAATAGATAAGTACAAACAATATATATTCTTATTACATAAGTACTAAGGTTTTATAATCATTACATTGTCCACTAGATAAATACAAACAATATATATTCTTATTACACAAGTACTAAGGTTTTATAATCATTTCATTGTACAATAGACAAGTACAAACAGTATATATTCTTATTACACAAGTACTCGCACACAAACACTCATTCTTGTAATATACTTACCTCAATTTAGATTGTGTACATGTATTTTATATGATAGAATCAAATCTATGTATGTTTCAATTGCTTGGCAGTTATATTAATCTGGCAGTTTTCATTTACCGTGGAAAGTGCAAAAATAAAACCACCACAAAAATTGTCTGTTATACAGTATCATATATATGTGGAGAAAACAATTACGGTATGTTGTAATGTATAATACTTAAAATCAGTGTGGCGATTTATATGGAACATTGCATAAAACAACTAGAAAGATTAAGTTCAGAAAGCCATGTACACATTTTGATATCCAAACACATGTAGAGGTTTGTCTTTTATACAAACAGTGTCGTAGAGGGTTTTACTCACTGTGTTGATTTACGTTCTCCCTACAGAGTTACAAGACAACATCAACATCCTGGAGGACAACGTCAACAGGATGTACAGTGACGAGGCCATGCAGCGGGTAAGTTACGAAATGGCCCGAAAGGTTTACAGTGTGTGCAATCGTTGTATAGATTCACGTTTACCTTTACGTTGACAGTACAGCTCCAAGCAGTACTTGTAAAAAATCATATTTATTTTTCTGTTGTCGATACTCATACCAGCTCCAAGCAGTACTTGTAAAGATTCATATTTATTTTTCTGTTGTCGATACTCATACCAGCTCCAAGAAATCCTTGTAAAGATTTATATTAAATTTCTGTTGTCTGTACCCATACAAGCTTCATGCAGCACTTGTAAAAGATTGTATTTAACTTTCCATTGATAGTATTTGTACCAGCGGCCTGCAGTTTTTGTGGAGTTTCCTATTAAACTATCCATTGACAATGGTTCACACATTACATTTCCGTTGACAGTACCCATACCAGCTACATGCAGTCCTAGTGCACGAGGGTCAAGCAGCGTCCGGTCACTACTGGGCCTATATATATAACACAGCCAAGGACAGGTGGCTCAAGTTCAACGACATCACGGTGTCGGAAGCATCCTGGGACGAGCTGGCGAAGGAGAGTGTCGGTGGATACCACAATGCTAGTGCTTACTGTCTCATGTATGTCGACAAGTCACAGTTACAACAGACAGGTGAGGACAAACTAGACTGGAGGTAACCTCAGTTATCTGATACTGCAAGGTTCCACGGGTAAACCTGTTTTATGTATGTCGACAAGTCACATTTACAACAGACAGGTGAGGACACACTCGACTGGGGGTAACCTCGGATATCTGATACTGTAAGGTTCCATGGGTAAACCTGTCTTATGTATGCCAACAAGTCACAGTTACAACAGACGGGTGAGGACAAACTCGACTGGTGGTAACCTCGGTTATCTGATACCGTAAGGTTCCACGGGTAAACCCGTCTTATGTATGTCGACAAGTAACAGTTACAAAAGACAGGTGAGGACAAACTCGGCTGGAGGTAACCTCGGTTATCTGATCCTGTAAGTTTCCACGGGTAATTCTGTCTATGTATGTCAACAATTCACAGTTACAACAGACAGGTGAGGACAAACTAGACTGGAGGTAACCTCAGTTATCTGATACTGCAAGGTTCCACGGGTAAACCTGTCTTATGTATGGCAACAAGTCACAGTTACGAGTGTCGGTGGATACCACAATGCTAGTACTTACTGTCTCATGTATGTCGACAAGTCACAGATACAACAGACAGGTGAGGACACACTCGACTGGGGGTAACCTCGGGTATCTGATACTGTAAGGTTCCCCGGGTAAACCTGTCTTATGTACGTCGACAAGTCACAGTTACAATAGACAGGTGAGGACAAACTCGACTAGGGGTGACCTCGGTTATCTGATTCTGTAAGGTTCCCCGGGTACTTCTGTCTTATGTGTTTCATCAAGTCACAGTTACAACAGACATGTGAGTACAAACTCGACTTGGGGTAACCTCGGTTATCTGATACTGTAAGGCTCCACGGGTAAACCTGTCTTATCAGACACACTTCACAGGGCCAACATTTTGAAAACCTGTCTTATCTGACACTGTACAGCTCCACAAGTAAACCTGTCTTACCAGACACACTTCACAGGGCAAAAATTTTGAAAACCTGTCTTATCTGACACTGTACAGTTCCACAAGTAAACCTGTCTTACCAGACACACTTCACAGGGCAAAAATTTTGAAAACCTGTCTTATCTGACACTGTACAGCTCCACAAGTAAACCTGTCTTATCAGACACACTTCACAGGGCCAACATTTTGAAAACCTGTCTTATCTGACACTGTACAGTTCCACAAGTAAACCTGTCTTACCAGACACACTTCACAGGGCAAACATTATACTGTAAGGTTCCACGGGTCAACCTGTCTTATGTATGTCGAAAAGTAACAATTACAACAGACAGGTGAGGACAAACTTGACTGGGGGTAACCTCGGTTATCAGATACTGTAAGGTTCCACGGGTCAACCTGTCTTATGTATGTCGAAAAGTAACAATTACAACAGACAGGTGAGGACACACTCGACTGGGGGTAACCTCGGATATCTGATACTGTAAGGTTCCACGGGGAAACCTGTCTTATGAATGTCGACAAGTCACAGTTACGACAGACAGGTGAGGACAAACTTGACTGGGGGTAACCTCGGTTAGCTGATACTGTAAGGTTCCACGGCTAATTCTGTCTTATGTATGTCACCAAGTCACAGTTACAACAGACATGTGAGTACAAACTCGACTTGGGGTAACCTCGGTTATCTGATCCTGTAAGTTTCCACGGGTAATTCTGTCTATGTATGTCAACAATTCACAGTTACAACAGACAGGTGACGACAAACTCGACTGGGGGTAACGTCGGTTAACTGATGCTGTAAGGTTCCACGGGTAATTCGGTCTTATGTATGTCGACAAGTTACATATACAACGGACAGGTGAGGACAAACTCGACTAGGGGTGACCTCGGTTATCTGATACTGTAAGGCTCCACGGGTAATTCTGTCTTATTTATGTCAACAAGTCACAGTTACAACAGACAGTTGAGGACAAACTCGACTGGGGGGAACCTCGGTTATCTGATACTGTAAAACTATCCATTGACAATGGTTCACACATTACATTTCCGTTGACAGTGCCCATCCCAGCTACATGCAGTCCTAGTGCACGAGGGTCAAGCAGCGTCCGGTCACTACTGGGCCTATATATATAACACAGCCAAGGAAAGGTGGCTCAAGTTCAACGACATCACGGCGTCGGAAGCATCCTGGGACGAGCTGGCGATGGAGAGTGTCGGTGGATACCACAATGCTAGTGCCTACTGTCTTATGTATGTCGACAAATCACAGTTACAACAGACAGGTGAGGACACACTCGACTGGGGGTAACCTCGGGTATCTGATACTGTAAGGTTCCATGGGTAAACCTGTCTTATGTATGCCAACAAGTCACAGTTACAACAGACAGATGAGGACAAACTCGACTGGGGTTAACCTCGGTTATCTGATACTGTAAAACTATCCATTGACAATGGTTCACACATTACATTTCCGTTGACAGTACCCATACCAGCTACATGCAGTCCTAGTGCACGAGGGTCAAGCAGCGTCCGGTCACTACTGGGCCTATATATATAACACAGCCAAGGACAGGTGGCTCAAGTTCAACGACATCACGGCGTCGGAAGCATCCTGGGACGAGCTGGCGAAGGAGAGTGTCGGGGGATACCACAATGCTAGTGCTTACTGTCTCATGTATGTCGACAAGTCACAGGTACAACAGGCAGGTGAGGACAACCTCGACTGGGGGTAACCTCGGGTATCTGATACTGTAAGGTTCCAAGCGTCATTCTGTCTTATGTATGTCGATAAGTCACAGTTACAACAGACAGGGGAGGACAAACTCGACTGGGGGTGACCTCGGTTATCTGATTCTGTAAGGTTCCCCGGGTACTTCTGTCTTATGTGTTTCATCAAGTCACAGTTACAACAGACGGGTGAGGACAAACTCGACTGGGCGTAACCTCGGTTATCTGATACTGTAAGGTTCCACAGGTAAACCTGTCTTATCAGACACACTTCACAGGGCAAACATTTTGAAAACCTGTCTTATCTGACACTGTACAGTTCCACAAGTAAACCTGTCTTATCAGACACACTTCACAGGGCAAACATTGTGAAAACCTGTCTTATCTGAATCTAATTAAACAAAAGGAAAGCGCAACTCTTGAATCAAGGTTTCCATGACTGTATTGATACTTGCACACAAGTATCAGCAAGTACCTATACAGTTATCGTAGCCTGGATACAGGAGTTACGTTTTTAATTTGCTTTACCATACCAGTAGGTATCTTCCTGAAACCTAGAGGTGAATGTGAACATTCCTTGACACAGGTAGAAAACACAAGTATCAATTAAATCTTAATATCCATTTAGTATCTGTTAACAGGTTCATATCGGTATGTGATGTGATCTTTATTCGCTGATATGTAAAGTCTTTAGGGTGGCAATAACATTGGTCAATACCAGAATGAAGCATTTAATATATAACATGAGTATGCATGCTACTGTTAGTGAAAGAAATAATATATTACACATCTCATTTTGTTGCCAGGGAAACATATCACACATCTCATTGTGTTGTCAGGGAAATGACATATCACACATCTCATTGTGTTGTCAGGGAAATAACATATCACACATCTCATTGTGTTGTCAAGGAAATATCATATTACACATCTCATTGTGTTGTCGGGGAAATAACATATTACACATCTCATTGTATTGTCAGGGAAATGACATATTACACATCTCATTGTGTTGCCAGGGAAATAAAATATCACCCATCTCATTGTGTTGTCAGGGAAATAAAATATCACACATCTCATTGTGTTGTCAGGGAAATAAAATATCACACATTTCATTGTGTTGCCAGGGAAATAACAGATTACACATCTCATTGTGTTGCCAGGGAAAAAACAGATTACACATCTCATTGTGTTGTCAGGGAAATAAAATATCACCCATCTCATTGTGTTGTCAGGGAAATAAAATGTCACACATCTCATTGTGTTGCCAGGGAAATAACAGATTACACATCTCATTGTGTTGCCAGGGAAAAAACAGATTACACATCTCATTGTGTTGTCAGGGAAATAACATATCACCCATCTCATTGTGTTGCCAGGGAAACAAGATATTACACATCTCATTTTGTTGCCAGGAAAATAATATATCACACATCTCATTGTGTTGCCAGGGAAACAACATATTACACATCTCATTGTGTTGTCAGGGAAATAAAATATCACACATCTCTTTTTGTTGCCAGGGAAACAACATATTACACATATCATTTTGTTGCCAGGAAACAACACATCTCGTTGTGTTGTCAGAAAAAAACATTCACAGCAAAACCTCTTTAATCCTTCTTTAGTTGACAACAGAATAAACAGTTCCCGAGGTTATAGAGTTAAATTTTCAGAGTTTAAGTCAGTAGGTGTTGATATGACTGATCTATTTGTTGAGTGGCCTAGGGTCTCGGCCTAGAAATTTGAAAAAGGAAACTTTGGAATGTTATTTTATATGAAATATATAATATGCCTTTTCTATTTCTCGATTTTGAAAAAAAAAAGATTTCTGTCAACTCCTATGAATTTGTTCTCTGTTCAGATCTGGTGGATATAGAATTGGTAGGCAAGGACCTAGACAGTCTTCCAAAGGACTTGAAGGAATCCGTCATCCTTGACAATAAAAAGTTTGAGGAGGAGATCCTCGACTGGGACAGCGAACAGGCGAGGAAAGCTGCAGGTGAATCGGTAGCTGCGGCAGAACACAAACCAGGTCAGTTGACATTTCCTACAAAAACTTCAGTGGGAAAAAAATACTTTATACTGGGAAATCTTTGCCCAGTCAAACTTCTGCCCTTCATCCATGAAAAAAATATTGCCCGGTGTTAATATCGTCTTTCATATTCAGTAACTATGTATGTTATGTTGTTTATTTATACTCGTTGTAATGATTAATTCGCACTAATTATGGAGGATGAAAAGGCAAAAAGTTAAAAAAAACAGTAAGACTTGAAAAGCATTGTGTAATGTGTCCAGATGAGGGATGTTGAAAAATTGCTGTCAGTGAAATGCACAAGTATTTATTTTGATGGCCGGAATGTTTGAAATTAAAAAAATGACATACATTTCACCATTTGTCAGTAACAGGACCCTGATCTGGTAACAGCCATATGTTGTTTACTGAGGCTAGCGTGGCTGGTTAACTAGATAGATAATTAAACAGATACAATTGCTTTATGATGCATCGTAACACCAGCCTTTTATAGTTCAGTCAGGCTGGGTTTTCCTGCGTCACATGTTACATCTTCGTATTCAGCACATGTGTTAGTATTCTCACCAGAAGTTATGTGGATGGGCCGTTCAGAATCCAATAACTTACTAATCTATATTTGCAGGAGCCAGCACCAGTACGGTAGCCACTCAGACGGCCACAGTGTTCTACCCGGCCGTACATGCGTCACTGTCTGTGGGGGACACTGCCGAGGCTGTAGCTAGTGTGGTAGACCATGAATCATTCAGTGCCAAGGATCCCGAACCAGCGCTTGTCAGAGTAGGTTACAACAGGTTGTTGGGTCATCTTACCAATGTTTCACGTTCTTTCCCTCATAGTGAGGCTGGCTCCCTTATAATGAGGCAGGCTTCCCTTATAGTGAGGTTGGCTTCCCTTATAGTGAGGCGGGCTTCCCTTATAGTGAGGCGGGCTTCCCTTATAGTGAGGTTGGCTTCCCTTATAGTCAGACGGGCTTCCCTTATAGTGAGTAGGGCTTCCCTTATAGTGAGGCGGGCTTTCCTTATAGTGAGGCGGGCTTCCCTTCTGGCAAGGCAGATTTTGTGACTAAATTGTGGATTTTTACATGCAAGCATGAAACTTTGCATTCAATTTTAGAATCAAACACTTTCACTTTGACATGGTTATACACTGTGAAATCATTTCTAGGGTCAAGGTCACTGGTATTTAAAATAGACCGTCGGGCTACGACCAAATCTGGGAATCCAAGTCTAATCTTTTTTAAATCTGACATAGTGATGTACTGTGATATGTAGATGTGCAATAGGGGTTTTAACAGTTTTTAAGGTCAAGTTTGTTTTTGTTTGTTTGATGATCAGGATCATTTTGTTTGATTTTGATTGTTTTGTACTCGAATGATTATGATTGAAATTTGTCTGACAGATAATCATGATTATGATGTAATTTGTCAGACAGATAATCATGATTATGATGTACTTTGTCTGACAGATAATCATGATTATGATGTAATTGTCTGACAGATAATTATGATTATGATTGTAATTTTTGTTTAACAGGTAATAATGATTATGATCTGTCTGACAATGATTTGTTTTACAGGTGATTGAGTCTGAACTGAAGCGAGTGGAACAAGTGGTTAGGAGCCTCCATTCCAAGCTGCCAATGGAAGATCCGCGTTTACAGCACCCTGTGGTGTACCTCACAGCCTGTAGGGCTGATAAGCGAGTTTGTCACAGGATCATGTGTGAACAGGTGGCTTACTGTGGTCTGCTGGACACTGAAGAGAGGTACCATTAGGGGTTTTACTAAAACAAAATATGTCTGTACATTAGAGGGTCAAAGTTAAAGGGAGGTACTGTACAAATTTATATTCAGACTTAATACTCAGGGATTACAGTAGGCCCTAGAGAGTATTTTTTTGACTTTCCAAAATGAGCTTTGACCCTTGGAGGTCAAAGGTCATGTCGATTTGACATGTGTTTTGATCCTCAAAATTCAGGGATAATGTTAATTTACTTCTGAAGTTGTTAAGTGTCAAGGGTCAATAGAAAGCCCTGATATTGTTTTTACAAATATGTGAAACTATCAAAATCTGGAAAGATTGATACCAGAAAGAGATTTTGAAATGAATTTTGAATTAAAACTCTTAATCGTAATTTGGAGTGTAAAATGAGATATATGTACTGAATTTCTATATGATTTTGTATGTGCTGACTTCTGTATTACGTAATTATTTCTGTAGGTACAAAGCTCTGAAGAACACAGCACTACGGATAGACAACATGAGTGATAAATCAGATCGAGACCAGTCACTGGTAAGTCCCTACTACATACAAATCAGATGGGGACCAGTCACTGGTAAATCCTTACCACAAATCAGATTGAGACCAGTCACTGGTAAGTCCCTGCTACATACAAATCAGATGGGGACCAGTCACTGGTAAGTCCCTGCTACATACAAATCAGATGGAGACCAGTCACTAGTAAGTCCCTACCACAAATCAGATCTAGACCAGTCACTAGTAAGTCCCTACTACATACAAATCAGATGGAGACCAGTCACTGGTAAGTCCCTACCACAAATCAGATGGAGACCAGTCACTGGTAAATCCCTACCACAAATCAGATTGAGACCAGTCACTGGTAAGTCCCTACCACAAATCAGGTGGAGACCAGTCACTAGTAAGTCCCTACCACAAATCAGATGGAGACCAGTCACTAGTAAGTCCCTACCACAAATCAGGTGGAGACCAGTCACTAGTAAGTCCCTACCACAAATCAGATGGAGACCAGTCACTAGTAAGTCCCTACCACAAATCAGGTGGAGACCAGTCACTAGTAAGTCCCTACCACAAATCAGATGGAGACCAGTCACTAGTAAGTCCCTACCACAAATCAGGTGGAGACCAGTCACTAGTAAGTCCCTACCACAAATCAGATGGAGACCAGTCACTAGTAAGTCCCTACCACAAATCAGGTGGAGACCAGTCACTAGTAAGTCCCTACCACAAATCAGATGGAGACCAGTCACTAGTAAGTCCCTACCACAAATCAGGTGGAGACCAGTCACTAGTAAGTCCCTACCACAAATCAGATTGAGACCAGTCACTAGTAAGTCCCTACTACATACAAATCAGATTGAGACCAGTCACTAGTAAGTCCCTACCACTTACAAATCATATTGAGACCAGTCACTAGTAAGTCCCTACCACAAATCAGATGGAGACAAGTCACTAGTAAGTCCCTACCACAAAGCAGATTGAGATCAGTCACTGGTAAGTCCCTTCCACAAATCAGATTGAGACCAGTAACTGGTATAAGTCCCTACCACAAATCAGATGGAGACCATTCACTAGTAAGTCCCTACCACAAATCAAATGAAGACCAGTCACTAGTAAGTCCCTCCCACTTACAAATCATATTGAGACCAGTCACTAGTAAGTCCCTCCCACATACAAATCAGATTGAGACCAGTCACTGGTAAGTCCCTACCAGTCACTAGTAAGTCCCTACCACAAATCAGATGGAGACCAGTCACTAGTTAAGTCCCTACCACAAATCAGATTGAGACCAGTCACTGGTATAAGTCCCTACCACAAATCAGATGGAGACCAGTCACTAGTAAGTCCCTACCACAAATCAGATTGAGATCAGTCACTGGTAAGTCCCTTCCACAAATCAGATTGAGACCAGTCACTGGTAAGTCCCTACCACAACTCAGATAGCGACCAGTCACTGGTAAGTCCCTACCACACACAAATCAGATGGAGACCAGTCACTGGTAAGTCCCTACCACAAATCAGATGGAGACCAGTCACTGGTAAGTCCCTTCCACAAATCAGATCAAGACCAGTCACTGGTAAGTCCCTACCACATACAAATCAGATGGAGACCAGTCACTGGTAAGTCCCTACCACATACAAATCAGAT